CCGTATCTTCTTATAGTATATCCATCAGGGCCCATTTTTATCTTCTGTCCCTCAGCTACGCTAAGCTAAAGAAAGGGCATGGGAATGGAGAAAGGAGACAGGAGAAAGAGCCCTGAACCCACAATGCCCACCACAGTCATCACACTAAAGACCCTTGTCCTCCCCACTGGCACTCTTTCCTTATACTCTCAGGGCCTCCTCCTCATAGCCCTGCTGGGCCTAAATTTCCCGAATCAAGAGAAAGCAAAAGCCTGACATGGGGAAACAATCAGGCCTTTTCCCTCCCCCAATTGAGCTCCCCTTTCCTCTCCCCCAGTCCAATAGCCCAACATTACAAACAATGCATAACTGTCCCTCCACTGTTGTACCAACACCACCTTCTTCCTTGAGAGTGCAGAGAAGGTCCCCCTGAGGCAATGTCACCCCCATCAATAGACAAACCTAAATGGAAGAGGAACCACCACCAGCCAGCCTTTCTCCTAGAAAGGCTTTCTAGCAGATACACGGGTGGGAGAGACAGCTACAGCCTGGGGATGCAGCCCTCTCCAGCAAGAGGAATACAAGCGCTTCATCCGCCAGCTGGGGCACCTGACTCGGGAGGTTCCTGGACATCCAGGCTCATCGGCATATGCCCTGAAGGAAGCAAATGGCCCTGGATTCATGGACAGTTCACTGACTAGACCCATCGGACCTCTGTCTTCCAGCCAATGTGCAGAGTGTGCTCAGTGGAAGAGTGCAGAAAGTGAATGTGGAAAGTTCCAACCACATTCTGACACAGTTGGGACTCCTCAGGATTCCCAACACTTCCCATGCCTCACATGCTGCCATTGCCAATATGCACCTTCTTAGGATTTTAGCAAGGCCCCTAGGTGTGTGAGTGTAAAAGGAAGAAGTGTCTGGTTGGTATATCAGTAGAACACACCAGCAACACCAACTCACATTCATGTGCCTCTTTATGGCAACAGGTAGTCTCAACAGAAGAGTTGAGCGGTCTATTCAACCAAGTGCAGTCAACATCAGCGGGTGCCTCCCAGGAGACCCTCTCAGACTACTGCTCTAGGCCACAGTATAGGAGGGGGAAAGGTCACCTTTCCTGAGCCACTTTTCACAGCCTAAGGCAGTGCACAGACTGAAGCAGGAACACGAGAACATCCCTAACAGTGAAGTCCAAAATTCTGAGGAATGCTGTCACATAGGGTAAAGCCTTCATCATGAAAGTCTCACCTTTGCCAGAAAGAAATCCACTCTCATGTCACACTCAGCGATGTGCACTATTATGTTCAGTCCCCTTGCTACAATGATCCCAGGCAGTACCAGGAATTGAGAAATAGGTAGGAGACACTTTTGACCACAGAAAGTCCAATGCACCTTTCACATGGAGGGCCTATGTCCTCCCGTCCAGCTTTCTCCTTGTGCTCTCACAGCAGCTCTACAGAGGGTCACTCTTCCCAGCCCCTTCCCCACCTCTAGGCTTTAGGCACCCCAACGAAGGTCCATATGTAGTCAGTCATTCCATCTTTCCTGATCAGGGAACTCCTTCCCGCTTTGAGGCTCTAATCTCTACAGTACTTCTCCTGAAAAGAACCGACAATCAAAAGTGGCCTGAGAACCACTCATGAAACTCATTTAGTTCAAGATTCAATTGGTACAGCTACTATGGAAAACAGTATGAAAGCCCCTCAAAAAATGAAAACGAGAACTACCATCTAGTCCAGCAATCCCACTTGTGGTATGTATCAAAAGGAATCCCTCACACCAGGAATTTATAGAACATTAACATTCCCACGAGTGAGTACACATTCATTGAGGTATTGTCTCATGAGGCTAAGTAACATGGCTGGCCTTAGGAATGAATTCCTGGGAAAGAACCAGCAAGCCAGATTCCATCTCAAATTCAGAAGACGATTACCTTCTCTTTCCACGAGAGCCCTGATTTCTGAGACTGTCACCAACTGGAGAGTCACCTTTTTGGAATCCTCAACCTTGTGACTTATTTTGAAGTGCCAATACACAGCAGATTGGCCTCTTAAACCATCCATTTAGGTTTTCTTGACCCCTGCCTCCAATGAAGTCAGCCAAGATGACTTTGATGGGCAGTGGGAACAAGTGTGTGTGGAAGGGGAAGCAGGCCTCACTGTTATTCTTAAGTTTCACAATTGTCTTGATTAGGAAATAATCCAGTTTTGATCATCATCATGTCACCCGGGGAAGGAACATGGGCTTAGGACAGGTTTTTCTAAGTGTCTCAGGCTACAGGTTTTCACTGAGTAGGAAGTTATCATGACCCCCATCTTTCACAGCTTTAAAGTAATTTCACCGATTACAGGGATGAACAAAACATCTTTAAACATGCCCTCTAAAGAATAGACACTTTCGTTTCCAATCACAAAGCAATGTGGATTTTCTTTTAACATTCGCTGAATGAAATTCAGGTTCTGTGATGCCACCTTCTGGATAAAACCCGTGCTAATAAAGCAACACAGGAGCCCAAGGTTTCCATGAAACTGGAGCTTAGAAGTGTCTTGGAATGCACCTTAGAAGAGTTCATATTTCTATTTAGGGCTTTCCCCCCACCCCAACTGTGAAAACTCTTCCGCAGATTTTCAACAAATTAACCACTGCCCCGAAAAGAAGTAACTTTACACAGACAATGAAAGAGAGGAGACCTTTTCGGCACTGCCAGTTAACAAGCACCCTCTTGGTGCCGGAACTTGGTGCTGAGCCACATCAGCTTCGGCATAAGGCGTCAGAGATGGCCACACAAGAAAGTGGCTCAGAGCAAGGCAAGGTGTGAGTTTCTGGGCTACCTCTTGGCATCATAGCAGGATTAAAGAGGCTGGTTTCCAAAGAGAAGCCCCATAATATCTGAGGAAAGTTGCTGGCCCTGTGAAAGGAAACAAACGTTTGGTTGAAATGGGGGCCTGGACAGGTAGGGAGATGAGCTAAATGAAGCCACAATGATCTGTTCCCATATTCTGGAAATGGTGTTCTAATTCCTTCAGTACCTCCTGTGTGCTGAGCACTTTACAAAAACCATACAAGAGATATCCCTGAGAGCAAGGTGTGATTCCCATTTGGCAAATGTGGAAATTGAGGCTCAAAGATGACAGTAAGAAAGAGTCAGACTCAGACACTAAAATTTATTTTTAATGAAACACGAGGCATTGTCCCAGCAACATCTGCAAGGCAAAAAATAAAAATACCGCGCCCTTGCACCCCCTCCCTGACAAACGGCGGATGAGTAAACATTTAATGAAGTCTTGACCTGCATATTACTTAAACTGTTAGCCTACATCTCCAAGACCCCTGCAAACTAAATGCCCACCCTCTTATGGGGGGGATAGACTGGCAGACTATCATTCTCTGCCACTCACTTGGTGTACAGGCCTCATCTTTCTCCCCTTTCCTAAATAGAGCTGGCTTGAAATTACATTCAAATCCATGTTCCCCTACCTGAAAAAAGCAGCACTCTCACAGTCTCTGGATTCCTGAAATTTGTTTTTCACAATCCATACAGTCCACCCTGCTTCTGCCTGGTATTACAAGTGTTTTCCAAAGGATAAAATGACAGACCAGAACTCTGATGTGAAAATGGCAAGATCAGGCTTTTTGGACAGGTGACATTCTAATAAGTTCAGTATGTCTGTAATAATGGCACTCACGCTGAACTGGAACAAGATGCCACTGACTAGTCAAAGACATCGATTATAAACATAGTATCTGAGCAGCGCTCAGGGAGTGATCCCGACATTGTTGCAAGTTCCTATCTTACAGACCCAGGGAAGACATTTCAACACCATGTTAAAAAATGTTGCAGCTCATGGGGTGGATGCTACCCTCCTCCCAGCATTTGTGGCCCCACAGAACATAAGGTTACACTTACTCATCTGGCAGGTCTGGACAGCTAATTCCGGGTCCAGTCTCTTCTCCTTACAGGCCCATCGGCTGGCCAGTACTAGATTTTTCCATCACAGGTCCTGAAGGAAACAGGGATTATACAGACCTACAAGGAGACTTGCTTACAGATGGACAGCCTAACACAGTTGCAGGAAAATTAGGTAAGTTGGAAGCTCGTACCATGAGTGGCTGGGGCAAACTGCCCCTTCCCCTGATCCACAAAACACCAAGGCAGCCAAGGGCCATCAGCTGTCCTAACTCCGCTCGCAATCCCTCAGAGCCTTACTGTCTCGGTTCACGTGGGAAAGAACAGAAAGGCCCTCAACGGTTAAAGGTCACCAAAATGACCAAGATCAACATTGGAAGCAAGCCCCGGCAACGATATATCCACCCCAAACGGCCTACAATAGAAAGCAGAATCAGCTCCATGGCGGCCGCCACTCACCAATCAGACTATCAGGCACCCCCACCCACCCAGCCAAACGCTCCGCCCTCCCCTCACTTTAAGCCGCAAACACGACAAAGCAGTGAGACCACAATTGGGAAGGAGGCTCTGAGACCCACATTTAAACAAAGAACGTCTTCTTCAAGTTTCATCATGCCCGTACAATAATGCGCAACACCAAACCCAGAAGTGCCTGAGATATCTTCTCCGCCATCCACCCAGGAGCCCGCAGACACATCTGTCAAAGTGTCCATGAGGACACACCATTTACCCGACTCTCCAAATCACACTGCAGACGGCCAAATACGAATAAAGGCAGTAAAACTTACACTTTTCCCATCTCCGGAAAGGGAGCCGCCATGTTGAAACCTAACCGAGGAAAACGGTCTACGGAAGCCCCCACAGCACAATCCAGACAGTCAATAGCTTAGGCACGCGCTAGGGCCTCTTCCACAACGTTTCACGCCCCCGCCTCCCAACATCGTCATTGGTGGGCCTGGGATGATTGACGGGGAGATTGGCTATTCCTCTCAGGTAGGACTAGTGGTGGGAAACTGTCCATTTGCCAAGGCTCAGCTGACGTCATGAAATCTCTGCTCGTAAACCTATGTCTTTCTATATCCATGTCCATCCCTCAACGCCTAGCTCTACTTCATAGGCCCTTGCACATACCTTGTGCTTTGTTTCGTGTCATCTTAGACTTTGGAAAGCATGCACGTTCAATTTACCCAGGCCTAGATCAATTCCATCCCCCTCCAGAAAGCCTTCCAACTTTTACTACTCCACCCCAATGGTATAGTGGGGCCTTATTGCTGGGTTTAGCTGAACCATTCTGATATTAATTACTGAGCTGTGTGAAGCCTTCTTAAGTAACATTTTCTTGCTTAAAAAATCGCTGGGTACCCTCACCTCCATCTCCTCTTCATTTTCAGTCAATATGGCTATCTGGGGGTGGCACAGTGTGTCTTTAACCATTTTGGAATTGATTGATATGGAAAGTCCTTTCAAAATTTGGGAGAATACATATTGAACTAAATGGATTTCACAGCTGATTGGCCAGCCAGTTTGATTGTTTGTTCTTTCACAGAGAGGCTTATAGAGGTTACAGGATCACCCCAGGGCAGGAGCCTCTCTGATCAGGAAAGATGGAATGGTATATATACCATGGTCCCTCCTTCAGAGGCCTGCTGGTTGCAGGTGGACAGAGGGTGGGAAAGAGCAGCACTGGATGCATCTGCTCATAATGATTAAGGACAAGGGACTGTGGTGTGAAAGATATGAGAAACTTTTTGTATTCAAAGAAGTGTTTTCTTCCCCTTTCACATCCCTGTCCCTGCCTGGGATCGGCAGAGCATGGGGACTGACGATGACGATGCACATGATTGAGTGAGACATGAGAATAGATTGCCTTCTGGCACAGGTGAGACTTTTATAATGGGGGCTTTATCCTACTTTACAGCATTCCTCAGACTTTTAGATGTCACTGTTAGAGAAGTTCTTGTGTTCCTGCTTCAGTCTGTCCACTGCCTTAGGCTGTGAAAAACAGTTCAGGAAAGGTGGCCATTGCCCCACCTATACTGTGGCCTAGAAGGGTAATCGGAGGGAGTCTCCTGGGAGGTGCCCACTGATGTTGACTACACTTGGTTGAGTAGATGCTCAGCTCTCATGGTGAGATTTCTCTGTGCACTGTAAAGAGAGAACCGAAAGTGAGCAACCAATTCTTGTTATGTTCTACTGATATACCAGTCAGACAGTAGTTCCTTCAAAAGCACATCACAGGTGCCTTGGGAATGTCTTTAAAAAGGCCCATAGTGGCAATGGCAGCATGTGGGCATGGTGGATATTGGCTCCAGGTCCTAAATTATCTGTGGCCTCTTGTCAGAATTCTGTGTCCCATGGGGCATGGGGAAAGTTGGGTCTGGGTATTAGGTTGGCACTCACCTGAGTCAGACGTTGGTGTCCCAAAAGGGCATGGGAAATATTGGGTCTGGGGTGTAAGTTGGCTCTAGCCTGAGGCAGACCTTGGTGTTATAAAGGGGCCTTGGAAATGTTGGGTCCTGAGCATAAAATGGCTCTGATCTGAGTCAGACTTCTCTGCCCCAACAGACATGGGAAATGTTGGGTCTGGGTGGTAAGTTAGCTCTGGCCTGAATAAGACTTCAGTGCCTCAAAGGGCATAGGAAGTGTGGGGTACCAGGCATAAGGTGGCTCTGGCCCAAGTCAGACTTCTGTGGCAAAGAGCATTGGAAATGTGGGGTTCGGGACTTTAGTTGGCTCTGGACTAAGTCAGACTTCTCCACAGCAAGGATCATGGGAAATGTTGGGACTGGGTGGTAAGTTAGATGTGGCCTGAGTCAGACTTCTGTTGTGCAAAGGGCATAGGAAGTGTGGGGTTTCAGGCCTAAGGTGGCTCTGGCCTAAATGAGACTTCTGTGCCACCAAGGGCATAGGTAATGTAGGGTCTGGGGCAGAAATTGACAAGAGCCTGTTGTAAGAATTCTGTGTCATTGTTCAGAGCAAGGGCATATTGTGAATCCTGAGGTGTCTCAGCTCTGTGTATGGGAATGTGCTTGGAACTTTCCACGTTCGCTTTCTGCACTCTTCTGCTGAGCACACTCTGTACATTGGTTGGAAGAAAGAGGTCCGATGGGTCTTGTCAAGGAACCATGCTTGAATCTGGGGCAATTTGTTTCCTTTGGGGCATGTGCCAGTGAGCCTGGATGTCCCAGAACCTCCCGAGTCAGGTGTCCCGGCTGGAGAATGAAGACCTTGTTTTTCTCTTGCTGGAGAGAGCTACACCCCCAGGCTGTAACTGTCTCTCCCCTCGTGTATCTGCTAAAAAGCCTTTCTGCTTGGCTCCTTTTCCTTTTCCATTTGGGTCTTCCTGTTGGTGGGGGTGACATTGCCTCGAGGGGATCTTCTCTGGACTCTCAAGAGGAAGAAGGTGTTGTTGGTACAACAGTGGAGGGCTGGTTATGCATTGTTTCTGGTGTTGTGCTACTGGAGTTGGGGAGAGGAAAGGGGAGCTCAGTTTGGGGAGGGAAAGGGTCCAGTGGTTTCCCCATTTCAGGCTTTTGCTTTCTCTCGATTTGGGAAATTTGGGCCTAGCAGGGCTATGAGCAGGAGGCTCTGAGAGTATACGGAAAGACTGACAGTGGGGAGGACAAGTGTTCTGGTGTGAAAATTGTGGTGGACATTGTGGGTGCAGGTCTCCTTCTCATGTCTCCTGGCCCTGTTCCCTCACACTACCATTCGGTGGCCATAGCTGTGGTATAGAAGATAGTAAAGCACATGGATACGTGTGAAGTGAGTGAATGTGGGCCTCTGTTCAAGGTGAGGCATTAATATCGGAATCAGGTCTTCACATTTCATTTTCCCAGTGAATTGTGGGTCTCTCTGCCAGGAGATGATTTTGCTACCTCTGCTCTTTTTGTGCACCATTTAATGTTGTTTATAATGTTTTATACTCTTGCACAGTAATGTAACCTGAGGGAGATCTGAGAAGGAACACCTGTTGCTTCTGAGGATGCTGTAATCCTCCTGAGATGCTGAGTGCCCTCACCTTTTGGTGATCTTCTCCTGCAGCTTTATTGACTCTGGTGCAATGCTTTGATGGTCATTTCTTTCTCTGATTGTCCAGAAGGTCTAGCAGTTTCTGGTTTCAGGGCCAGGCTGTATGTGTCTCCCTCATAACTATTGCTGTGGTGATAAATGTGATGCTGAAAGGGGATCTATGTGAAACACTGGCTATCCCGGCACTCAGCAGTAGGGTCTCACTGCACAGGCACATGCATATAGCCTCCACATAACTCCTGGACCATGTGTACACTTTTAGAACTCTGTTATTTTTTGGAGATCAATGACCTCTTAAATCTGTAAGACTCAGTGTTCCCCTCCCAACCCCACCACCACCAGACACACACTCAGAACAAGGGGTCCCTGCCTCCTTCTACCCTCCCTTTTCCTTAAATGTGATGTCAACTTGGAGATGAAGGACTGGGTGACAGGAAGCCTATAGCAAAAAGGAATGAGTAGGGGCCCATTCTGGGCTCCTTTTCTGCTTTTTGTTCTGGTTCATTTCCCCACCCCAGGAATGGCAAGACTAGAAAGGCAATGAGCACCTTTCTGCCAGTTTGAGAGTGGCTGGTGGTCATCTCCTGACATTGGGGATGGTTCTCCAGGTACTGAGGGATTCTGGTGAATCCTGCAGCAAGGGTGGATCAGACTGGAGAGGCTGTGAGGATCCTGGAAGGCGCTAGGACACAAGTCTCCTCCAGACAGAACCAAATGCAGGCTAGTCTGTGCTTTGCTTCCTGTGCTGGTGTCCTCTCAGCCTTCCTCTTCCCTCCCCATTCTTTTTACTTTTTGTCTCTATATCCCTCCAGTGATCATCTATCCATCTATCTGTATCCCAGGGACACAGGCTTGGGACACAGGCTACAATTGCCTCCTGGTCTCCAGCCACGGAGATAAGGATAAGCTACCCCATTTTACTTCCTCTATTGATAAGGAGGGTGATTTGCTCCTTCTGAACCTCATAGCTCTTTCTCCAGTGGCCAGGGAGCATGGGACAGTAGACAGGAGATGAGAGTCTGTCTCTGTGTGGAAATTCCTAAAGTCAGGGGGTTTCCCAGAGAAGTCTATTCCAGCAGGGTGAGCAGAGACCATTATGTGGTGGATTATAGAAGAAAAGGATGGGGGCAAATCCCACACCCAGTCTTCACTCTGCATCCCTCAGAAGGTGCAGAAGATGATTTCAGTGTTTTCAGAGATACAGCCAGTTGGAGCACAGAGGTTAGAGAAAGCAACAGAACATTAGGATAGCCCTGAAACTTACCAGCCACATAGAAATAGATGACCATTCATCACCACATTTATCCTCACAGCAACGGTTGTGAGGGAGACATATATAGCCTGGCCAATAAAAAGCCCTCAATAAATGGAAAAAAATATGCTCACTCCTCTCAAGTCTTCCCCAGGTCCAAAATCCCTTGGTCTCCTATAAAACACAAAATGTGTCAATTGATTGATTATTTAATTAATACCTGCCAAACCTGTATTAGGAGTAAAGGTGAGAAGACCCACTCCCCCACATTCAAATCTCACCATGTTTCTCTCCAGGCTGCTGACTTGGGCTTGCATAGCTAACTCGGGTAGCTCACACCTTAATGGATAAGGTATTCTTTAACAGGAGTAGGTCATAATACTGAGATAAAGAGATAAATTCCAGCTCTGATGAGAGAACAGAGGACTTTCTTTGACATCTGCATCCTGAGGAACCCCTTGGGCAGGAGGTGACACGTTGCAGCCTTGGGGAACCCTAGACCAGGATGGCAAGATGTGAGTTGCAGACACCCACAGCCTGTAAGATCTTTATGAATAATAGGGGAGAGACTCAAGCCCACCCACCCAGCAGGCACATTTTCAGTCAGGACAGACTGTGACAGTCTTGCTTTCTTTTCCCCAGGGGTACGATTTCAATGAGCACAAGGTTTTAATGACCGCCCTCCGCCCTCCCTGCCTCAGCCGTCCGAGCGCCCAACGTGTGGTCTCGCTCTACGGCCGCCACGTGAGCCTTGCGGGGACACGAGCCCGCCCTGTCTGGAGGCCACGTGGAACAGGGTGTACCTGTGGATGTCAGCACGGAAGGCAAGGTCGACGACTTCGCCCGAGAAGCAGTACAGGCA